CAGGTGAAAAATACCACAGATGTCAGTATCTGGTCAGAATATCCATGAACACTGTAAAAACAAAGCCCTTTTCAATGTCTCTCCCCTAGTTTGGGGGAACTGGAGGACAACTTGTACAAAGCAATGAGTTTTTAAGAATTAATCAGGTGTGCTTACAAATTCCTCAAAACTTTGACTTATCTGAATTCTTGCTGTCTTTTTAATATTAGCACACTTTTAGTTTTGTTTCTTGAGCCCATGCCAAAATAAAGTGCTCCAAGTAAATGCCTCGTGTAGAAAGGAGACTCGCTCCTGCCAGGGAAGCTCTGGCCGCGGGAGCTGCTCTGGCACCGTGCTCTGGTGTGCAACCTGGGTCACTCGCAGTGCCATGGAGAGAGCAGGTTTGCTTTACTAACTTTCATGTTTTTCATTGTAGCCATGAGACGCAAACGACCTGCTGGGACCATCCCAAGATGACTGAGCTTTACCAGTCTTTAGGTAAGACACCCCTACCAGTTTGGTATTTTTCCAATCCAATGAATTTTAAGGCAAGGATTTCAAGAAGTTGTAAAAACCAAAATGAAGTGAAAGCAAGAGGTGCTGATTTTATCATGGTTAAAATTTTCTGCAAGGGAAATATGTGTGGCATTATAACACATTTCAAACAAGCAGTGGAAAAAATAGTATTTCAGTTAGCACGTTTGCAATGTGCACTGGGTTTACAAAGTAATTTGGGTACATTGTTGCAAGCTCTTACTGAAAGACTATGACAGAAATTTAAAAAAAAAAATCCTGAATCTTTTCACTGTCTAATCTACTTTACAAAAGGCAGATGAAAAAATCAAACCAGGCTGCTGTTAATGTTGACTTTTGCATGGTAGGAAGCCAATTGAAACAATTTGCCAAACTGCGTTACCACTGCTTTATTTTTAAAGCACTTTCAATACTTGGAAGGCATGGCAGCTGTCATGATGTCATTTTGAATACCCAAATTGCATGCTTATAATCACTTCAGATGCGCCTCTCTGGTGGAGATTTTTTAAAATTTATTTTTTAGCAGCTTTGGTTTTTATTAACAGAAGCACATGTATAAGATAAAATAGGTCAATCCATGCTCTAGTGTAGGCTTCTTGTCAGACCATTTAATAACTAACTATATGCTTTTAATGGTTCTGTTAATAAATAATAGAGGGTATAATAAAAATTAAGCTATTTCTCTAAAAGAAATACTAGTGAATATGCTGCATTCATAAAGGAGATTATGTCTGTACAGCACACCAGCTTTATATGAGCCAGCTTGAGCACTAGGGCAGTCAAATCTAGCATCCAGTGGAGGCTTATTTACCATGGTGAAAAATAGCATAAATTGTCTCCCGCTAAAATGTAATTTAGCTGCTTAAAACAGTCTAATTATACTAGCTTAATCTATTTCAGGCCAACTGAGGTATCTCTGTGGTGCTCTGCAGTTAAAGGCATACCAAAAGTATTTTATAAAAGTGATATGATAAAAAGGAATGAAACACTGTGAAGATTTGTTTCCTTATAGTATTAACGCTGTGGCAGCGATTTGTTCAAAAATTAACCAGAATACAGCCCTGTATGTCAAAAAGGGATATAAGATGTGTAAGTTCAAGCTAACCAAATGCAAAAGCAGACAAGTATTGACTTGCCATTTAATTATAATGTATAGCCCTGTTTGTCTCCTTTATACTTCTGCTCTTAAAGAGAGTGGTTTAAAAAATTCAGGACAAATAGTAATTGCACATGCAGACTTCCCTCTAATACAGGTAGATCTTCAAACTGCTGCCTGGTAATGGAACCACAGCCTGACTCCACAGCCTTCTTTGATCCAGAGATGGCATGATATTTCTGATACTGTTGTTGGTCAGACCTAAAGTCCTGTTGTAGCTGCTTTTCTTCTGGTATTTCCCTGTTTCAGTCAGAGTACTCCTGAATAACAAGAAGTGAAGAGATAACTATAGATAAGGGATAAAAGTGTCTTGATGGATTCACATCAACAGTTCAAAAGATGTGTGACTGCTGAAGTCACTTTGCATTTAATTTAACTGAGCTTTTCCACTATGAATATCCCCCAAATGTCAAGAGTTTAAGATACCCTTATTTCTTACTGCATAAAGAAGGAATATGCTTAGGCACATTTTGCTTCTTTTTCTTATAAAATCCTGCTGTTTTCCTTTTGAGAGCAAGGGATGTTTAAAAGGCAGTCCTCTTTCTGGCCAGTTTTATTTCTTTGGGAATTGAGATCAAATGTTCGTTAATATGGAAGAGATGCTGATTTTAGCAAAGGATGTATGATGTACATTTTTATTAGTAAACTTGGTTATTCATGTTTGTGTACAAAAGACATTAGACAAGGTGATTCTCTGTGCCCTGCAACATGGAGTGAAGCTTTGATAAAAGTGCTACAGAATTACGTAGCAATTTATTTTATTTTTGAATTGGGTGTATTCACCACTGCCTCTTATACAAACTGCATAATACAAGCATAACCCGTTTAGTCTTGAACAGAACCCTTGATGTATTTTCAGTGCTTTGCTTTGCCTGAGGTCAAAGCAGTAATAATGGGATGTTTGAAGTCTTTTTAGATGGTTCAGTAATATTTTATATGAGAAGATATTATTAAAGTCAATTTTGTATTGCATACTCATTAGATCCTATTATTTTCCCACATCAGGATCCAAATGTGGCTTCTTGTTCATATGAAGAAGCTACTAAAGAGCTTAGTATATATATGTTTTTAAAATCTAGTAGAAAACGTGAATTCTGCAATCCATATAAGTGAAAAAAAGTGAAACCAAGTACATGAATGCTTTCAAGAGTTTTCATTTCCATTTTCCAACTCTTACACTTACCCTGTGAGGAATAATTGAGCTGTGTGATGTAGCTCTTATATGTCCCAGGTACTGACTGATGTGTTGCTTTTCTGTAAATTTATCACACTTTAATTGATTCCAGTATATCATAATTTGCTAGGAGATCCTTATATCTAATTTAAATTTGTACAAATTACTGAAAGTTTAATTTTTAAGTGAGTGAGGAAGATGCAGCCTGGCACAAGGTAGTCTTCCTCAACTGTGTATGCCTTTGATGCACCACAGAAACTTCTGGAGAAAAATAAAGAGTAATACTGGTTTAATTCTTCACATACTGAATTCACCCATCTACAAATTGTTGCATTACATTTTTCTAAAACAGATCAATTCCAAGTTCGAAACTTACTTGCCTCAGCTTTCTGTCTTTAGAGATTTGAGTATTTGTAAAAATGAAGCTAAATTATTTGGGAGCATTATTTGGTAATAATAAAAGCATGTAGGAACATGCTGTGTACGCTTTCATACCTGATGAGATGGTTGATCCAAGAAGTCATGTCTCCTGTCATCCATGGGGACTGCATCAGAGAAAGCAGAAAAAACCTATAGGAAGGAGTTATAACATAACCTGCCCTTGAAAAGAAGTATTTTCAAATTCTCTTTGAACTCATTTGCTGAAACATGACTATTTATAAAGATGCTCGTAATAACTGTGAAATTTGATTTGAAATTTAATGTGTATCAAAACTTCCTAACTAGTTCTTTTAACAGAAACTTTTAAGGTATTAAAATGCTTGTTCTTGACTGTTATTCTTTGTTTAAAAACATACCATTTTATCAGTTTTAATGAAGCATTTACTCCTGACTCAAGTTAGGCAGTTTTAACTCTTCATTTAAAGTTATGGCTACTTAAAATTACATAATAAGCTGTCAATATTAAGTGACTCAATTGTTATTTAATGGTCAAGTCAAAGTGACAACAGGTAGTTGCAGCAATGACGTGTATCTTTATCTAGTATCTGTTTGTGTTAGTTAAGAAACAATTATATAAATTAAGAATATAGATAAAAAATAGTTGCTGACATAGGAGAGGTAGTAAAATCAATTATGTGTGAGTCTCAAAGGTTCAAAGACTGGCAAACACCCCCCAGTTTTTATTTACAGCTGTACAAACCACTCGTACTTTGTTCCAACTTCTTTCTGAGAGTCTTCACAGTACCAAGAACCACTCCAGCTGCTCTCCATTCCAAATGCAGTTCCCCTGCAGCAGACCTGCTTTTTTGACACTGTTCTTTTACAGCCCCCTAAAAAATTTTCTCATCCTTCATGATGGCTCCAAGACATCACCAAAGTAAGAGTTTGTGTGTTTTTTGTTATCCAGGAGAGTTCAACACCATTTGGGTGAGGGGAGAGATGGAAAGAGCAAGAATCAAAGTTGTCTGGGGTTGCTTAATTTTTTTCAGATTATCTTCCTGATGAACATGTAATAGGCAGTTTAACTCAGAATGATAGTATTTTGCCTTTAAGCTGAAAATTACTCTAACCTTTATAGTGATGACCCAGAAGAACTTGGCCCGTTGTGCCACGTTGTTTGTGCCCTTCTCCTCTGGCCTTCCCATGTAACATCAGTATGAGTCTCCTCAAGGTGTATTAGTGTCACAGCAACTGCAGCAGCAGGGTGCAGCTGGAAATGCTGCTGTGTGCACGTCCTTATCTCTCCTAAGGCACCAAGGCAAGACGAGATGAAGAACATCCTTGCCCTTGCAGGCTGCAGTGCACTGGTGACAGCTTCCATTTAATTTGGAGGAATGGGGGGTAGTTTTCTGGAGTACATGAAAGAAATGTCTGTGTAGCTTAACACAAGCTGGGTGAATGTGGGAAGGTACCTCTGAGCCTCCCCATGGCACTTGGCAGCACGTGCTGTGTTGATCTTGTGGCTGGCTGCTCCTGTGCAGCAAGGTGAAATCCCAACTCCAAATGACCAAAGTGGTTAAACTTTATCCTTTCTGGTGCATATATTTTGATTTGTCCTTCTGAAATGCTGCCTGAAGAGGCTAAACTGTCCCTCTCTACCATAATAGTTTTTATTAAAACTACTAAACCATGTATTTAATATGAGGGTTTATTCACATTTAAGTAATTGTTTTCCATGTTTATACTAGTAAGAGAAGTGCCTATTGTACACATCAATCATGTGATTTCTACTGACATACGACGAGATGATACACGTGGTCTTTCTTTAAAGGTGGCTTATTCACTGATGGCCTTTTCAAGCTAACAGCAATCTGAATAATAAAACTTTTCATTTTGGAAAGTGGGATTGGTTGGGTTGCAGGCAGTGTATTTTTGAAAAGGTATATGAGCCTGTCACAAGCTGTGGTTCAGTAAGACTTGCAGGTTTTAATCACTGTAGGTTCACATTTTTTTACTTACAAATAAGTGAAAGTACAAAAAAAAAAAAAAAATCAAAACTCTGTGGATCATATCAAATGAAGACATGGATTTGACCTGATGACATCTAATTTCTTTCAAAGAATTTAGTTGCTGACTTGCCAAATTCTACTCTTGAGATAGTAATCACCTGAAACATGTAAGCTCTTCTTTTCAGTTTGACCATGACAAAATTCACAATAATATAAACAAATAACCCTCTTTAAAGTAAAAGAC